TAACGAGCAAGGACTGAGCGGTACGTGACGCGGTCGTTCGCACGAAGGGGCATCAAGGTTACATGATAGTTGGTCAACGCAAAGGTCAACCGCAGGATCCTGTCGAAGATGTCATGGCCCCAGGTAAACGTTGCATACGACACCTTCCACAGCTGACACACGCGACCAAAGTAGTTCTCAACCACGACTCTGTCCGAGGACACGCGTTTGTTTTGGTTGAGGTCGTCGGTGTCCAAAGCCCGGCCGGTAGGCTTCTTCTTTGGATGGATTCCCCGAGTATGATGCATGATGCCGACGTAGCCTTTGTCGATCAAGCAAGCCCAGTAGCCGCGGTGGTCGTCGAACTGTTCCCCGACGTCGTTTATAGCCATCTCGGTCTCCATCTTGGCCAAGCTCGTGCGGTGGACGGTCAAGCGGTCCATGAACATGGTCAGGTCGTTCACTGACCCTGGACAATGGTCGCTCATGTCCACGCACAGGCCTTCGGGTGACACCGACGCTTCAACCTTCAACCCGTACAGCTTGTGCTTGCCACTGAAATAGTGACGCTGCTCGTTGAAGCGGCCCTTCGGGCGCTCAGCTGGTTGGAATTTGACATCCGTCGCGTAGAGGGCGTAGGGTTAGTTAGCGAAGATGACATCTTTGTTGCGTAGGTTGGTCTTGCTTGGCATCTTGATGAAGTACCGGAAAAATATGGGTTCGACGACTGCGATCACCTTGGTGATGAGTCTGTGGAACGTGGGGGCCTTGAACTTGAAGTGCGTTGCGTGCATCTCCCACGACGGATAGTGCTTTAGGACCGTTAATGTCATAAAAAATGCATCCTTCGGACTGGTTGGTGACTTCTTGCCGCGGCCAGCAGTCCAGCGCGTTGTCAGGGCACTCTGAACTATCCCGTAAAGGATCTCGAACTCGGCACTGGTGAAGTTGCACATGGTTTTAAAACCATCACATCCCGACTCTTCCAGGATGGCGTCGATGATGGGATGCGCGGACTCGCTTAAGTCGTCGTGCTGGTCGATGGTGTCCCCATGCGTGCGGAGGCATTCGGCCAAGTTAATTTGGTCCACAGTATGCTGCTCTTGCAGGGATTCGATGATGGAAGTGACGCGCATTGACAACAGGATGCAAAGTGTGCAAATGAAGTGGACTGTGAGCTCTTTTGATTAGCCTTATGTCGCCACCATTCATGTTGGCGGGAATTTCATTGCAGTTGCTGGCCAATAATATTGTTGAAATTTGTGCTCTCCAAAGTTCGATGTAAAGGACCTGCTTGGTTAGCTAATTGGTATATTGTCAGCATGATCGTTTACTATGTTTGAGAGTCTTTTGGAATTTTGGCAATATTTCATTCATAAATCAAGTAGCTTCCACATTGGTTGGTATGTTGCATAATGGTGTCATATTTGCAAATTATGCTCGTATGTTTTGGAAGGGAACTTGTAATTTGGCAGTAAGTCACCAATTCGATCGGGAGCCTAATGCTGACCACTCCGTCACGTGAATGAAATGCAAAAATGGCGTAGAAACCATTGGTAATAGTCATTCAAGATTGGGTTTGAAGTACCC